TAAGATCATGAAAGGACTCAGGAATTGGTCGGAATTCCACGACATCGCCATTCTATTTTTCATGAAACTCACCATATCGCACTAAGATGCTAAAGAAATTGTACCCAGGAAAGCGTAGATGGAAGCATATACTAGAGTGAGACATGATTATTCAAGCGCAAGGCAAATGGAAGAAATTGAAGTACCGACATGAGAGATACAGTAATTGATACTTGCTGATAATAATGGTGAGTTGTAGTGGAAGAAGGTCCTCACCAATGTTCTTCCCTCACTCCCTCTATAAAAATTAGGTGTGTCCTTGGCAGAACCAGGTACAGACCATTTTACTGAAGATCCACTCTAGAGGACAGTGTAAGAGCAGCCTTCGCACTCCTGCTACACACTAGCTACGTGACCTTAGGCAATTATTAATTTCTCTATGCATTATTTTCCACTCTATACATTATATATAATATGTATATTATAAAGTGTTCTGAAGACTAAATGAAATCAAACTTTAAAGTATTTAGAACATTACCTAGAATACAGTTTGTACGGTATCAGTATTTTTTAAATTAAATACTATTGGAAGAAATATAGCCTATTCCGACCTTATCTCTAGAGTATTCCAATTTATGAAAAAATTAATTCCTCCATTTCCTTTAGAGAAATACTTTTTAAGAGTATTTCTTGGGTCAAAAAGTAGCATTCTTTTAATTTTATATTTTCACATCCATTTTGTTTCCTTCTTATGCCCCTTTCTCTGTGGAACAAGATATTGGCTTCCTTTCTTGCTTTCCTAATACCCACTGAACAAATCGTTCACCCTGTAATTTCAATGTTTGTGTCCTCCCAAATTCTTTACCTGTCCAGCAATTGCCAATTATGTGAGTATAACATTCCAGTTATAACTAGGAGTTTATTACATACTAAATTCCTAATCAGTTCTAAATTCTCTAGAAATGTTACTCACTTTTGCGATGCTCTCAAGAAACTCTACTCATGAATAAGTATAACACACACTTCTTAACTTTAAAGATATTTTTACCTTTTTCCCTCTTTCTAAAATAATTGCTAATTTTATTTTCTAAAACATTCTTCTATCACTCATCCTTGTGCGAACCTTTTGTTATACACCCCACAGAAAAACCTTGAAACATTAATACGGAAAAGTGCCCATGATTTTTCATGTTTGCCGATTGAAATTTATTGTCCAGGAGAAAATTACCGCATCACTTGACAGTGATGATCAGTTACGGTACCTCCAGTGAACTATATGCAGTTTTTATTTCAAATTCACTCATGCTGTTACACTTGTGTGGAATTCTGTCTCTCCCTCTGTTTTGAAATACAAAGATTACTTAAAATGTAGGGAAAAATCGTACATCCAGTCAGCTCCTAAAAACACTGCTTTTTTCACGCTGTAGAAAGCAATGTTCAACCCAATGTGCTGCATCATTGAAAGATAACCAGAAGATCAAAAACGTCAGTTCTTTCAAGTAGGACGTAAATTACATAACTAATCTGTAAATTAGATTAGGAGTGCTAATATAGCTGTCCACCCTGAGGAACTCTATACATCATGTACTTCTTTGACCTGTATTTATCTTCTTGTTTAACCAGAGGCTTACACTTCTGTTGAACCTCAGTCCTGCATATATAGCTGGGATTATCCAGGGAACTGGAATGTTGCTGGCATACTGCCAGCAAAGTATGTCCAGACCTCCACGTCAAATTTCTTTGCAGTAGCTTTTTTAAAAAGTAAATCACCCTTTAGCAGAAACCGCTTAAGGGAACGCCGTGACCGTTTAGTACTGCACTGTGCTTGTCCC